GTCAGTATTTAGACATTATTAATTTTTTTTTATTTATTGAATAGATTAATTCAGTATACGCGGACTTTGGAACTTTTGAAACTGTTTAAATCATCATCATTATTATTATTAATAAATATAAAAAGCCAACCCAAACGTCTTTTGGCACTTTAAAATGATAATTACAAATTAGGTGTAATTATTTAATATTTAAAGTCAAGTGCTACTAAAAACAAACAAAAGATAAATTAATTAATGTTTTTATTCCGTTCTCTTTTTTTTTTTTGTTTTAATAGATACCAAAAGAACTAACTGAATATTTTTTATTTTTTGTGTTTTGATATCGTGCTGATCGGAATACGTTTTGTTTTTTTTTTTCGTCCGAGAGTAAATTTTACCAAATGTACCATACTAATGTCCGGCGTGTACTCAAAAAGGGCACTAGTCGTAAAACACGCCTTGCCATCGCCTACGATATGTTAAGAACAAGAACGAACAAATAATCTACTGGATCTTCTGGACAACGTTACAGAATAACGCAAATTGAAGTCCTCAATCAAAGCTCTTTAAATTTTCTCGTAATAGGAAAAAAGTCTTCCCGATAATTTCTTTCCAAGCCAAACGAAACGTCATTAATTTTGAAAAGAAAATTTATGAAAACCAATATAAAAAAGTCAATGTTATAAAAAATTATGTACTTACCCACGTCTAGAAAATTAAAACGAGATCGATCACACTTAGGAGGGCCGTTTGGTAAATTTAAAAATAATTAAAGTTGTAGGGGGTCTTGTCTGAGTCTGAGGACTCCCATTTGCGGTCTTGATCGGCAAAGCAGATAGATCCATTCTACGACAGCAGAGCATTATCAACCGGAAGCTAGAACGACGCGTAGAGAAAGAGGGCGCTGGACGACGGTGGTCAGAATTTTTTAAGGTTAGAAGTAGGAGTGGGAAATGGGTTAGAGTAGGGGTAGTGGGTAGAGAAAGAGATAGAGGGGGGGGGGCGCGACGGCCTGCGGCGTAACTGTGGGTGGATATGTAGTAACAAGGGCTAAAGCTACTCAATTCTAGGTAAGCTTCACACAGCCCGAAAAATACAAGCACTTAAAACAGTGCTGAAAACTAAAAAAAGTCGTGTTATATAAATATGAGCACTACACAGCATATAATTATCCGAGTACCGCGCGTGCGCACGTCGAAGAGATTTCGATTTTTCACGACGGCAATTATTTACGACGAACGACTACGTTTATTATTATTATTTTTATTATGTATATTTTTTTCTGTTTCATCATTAAAATTTACTTTTTTGTTTTGGCAGGAGATATCTCACCCAAGAACGACGACGACGACGACGACGACGACTGGAACATGCTGAACGGAAAATAAAGTTCTGCTGCTGCTATCGCATCTTTCTTCTTGCAATAATAATGACAATAATTTGTTGAATAGTTGCGATAATAATAATAATAATTGTAATGAATGACGACGGTGGCGGCAACGAAGACCACTGCTGTAACATTGTCGAAACAACAGTACGTCCGGGAGCGTTCGGAGCACTGCGCGCGCACACTGATGCACTGAGACACTGCGGGGCGGGCGGGACGGCGGCGAGGCGCGATACGCGCGGGGTGGTAGCCGGTTCTTCTCGGGGAAGCGCAGCGCATCCGTCACTGAAACAGAACAATGCTTTCCCTTAAAATTGGAAGTGTTGCGAGAGATAGATGAGGGGGGGGGGCGACGGCCTGCGGCTTAGCTGTTAGTGGATATGTAGTAGCAGGGGCTCAACCTACTCAATTCTCCACATTAACTTAGAACGGGGGCAGAGGACTATAATTTCTAAAAATAATTGACAAAAAAAGCTAACATCATTTGATTCAATTGAAATGCCTTTAATGTCGAAAATAACTATTTTTTTATGTTCATTTGGTTACTTAAATGCTATAAACACACAAACGACCCCTAAAAAAATTTTTTGTTTGTATGCCTGTGCAGGTTTAACTGATTTCAAAACAATTGAGTAGATATGAAAAAGAGTCTGACAGGAGTTATATATTTAATTGTTTATAATTATTGTGTTTATTATAAAAAATTAGAAATAGTTTTACTCGGACGAAGGTGCGGACCAAAGTAAGCATATATATAATATAAATGCAGTAAACTAACGATAGACCGACACATTTCCAATTAAATACCTTTAATTATAGAGAAAACTGCATCAAAATCGATTTAAAATTACCTGAGTTCCGCTTTTTCATATTCTTCATTCATAAATAAATTGCGAGGCGCCTGGCGCCAATTATCAGTATTTACTACCGCATACTAAAGGAGATTCCCAGGAAGTGCAGGTGTTACTTGACCTAATTTTCTATTGGTTGTTAGATCGACGCGTCGAGTAACAGCCAATCGGGTTGCCCACCGTACTTTATAATAATAATGCATTTTGCAGGCAAAAGTTAGTCACGCGCGATGCAGTGAGGAATGCACATCGTTTTAAGGTAAAATTACGAAGACAAGGTATTACGACTTCAAAAACACTCTAAATACTGTTACCGTTGACAACGCTAATTAGAATTGTTAAAAATTTGATTTAAAATTTATAGTAATGTATAAAAACAGTAACACGTATAAAAATGATCATAAAAATATTAGTCTGATTTAAATAAAGAGAAAGTAATAATTAAAAGTACATTTTGTCGATTTCCACGGTAGGTTCTAAAAAGTTTGTGTAATCAGCTGTGATGGAGATGTATTTCGGAATAAAAAAAAAAAAGAAAAAGTAATTCGTCCTCTAGGTATAAAGTTCCGCTTTTGAGAGGGGTTTTGCGGCGATCGATTTTGACGATAAATCGTTTTGGGACCGGGGTGGCCATGCTTTCGTGCTATACCCATTTGCTTCGGGAAACTGACAGAACAAACGATTTGTGAGCGACGCTATTGTTTAAGTTTCAGTCCCGAAGTAAAAAGTTCCGCACTCTTAAGATCCCTATAGGTATCAAATCTATCTAAATGTGATATAAATAGAATATTACAAGAACACAGTTTATCTTACCGATATGCATGAATAATTACATTACATGTAAAATTCTGTTATTTTTTACACTTGCTTTACAAGCAAATCAAGCAATAATTTCAATGCTGGAAGGTATCTATGTATATTATACTAAAGTTAACAGCAGTTAGTTAGGTAAAAGAGTAAAAATTGGTATATTCGATTCAAAAATTGTTTGTTCCCTTACTCTTGACTTACAATCGTCCAGAATGGTACTAATAGTTAACTGTTGGGAGTAAATATATTCGCATATGTATTTTAGAGTCATGAGCGCAGAAAGATGTGCGACGCAGTGGTGGATGGTGGTGGTCCAGATTTAGGAAGAGTTCAAACTGCGTATTGAGCGTTCGTAACGTGGTGGGAGGGGTGGCACCGTTACCTTGGTAACGCTTTAGCGACGTCAAAGCGTCTATGCCGTCGTTACGCTTGCCTGCTATGCGAAGACTTCTTCTCCTGCTCCTCTATACTCTCATGCCATTGGCAGAAACGGCTTTAGTATTTTTTTTTGCAATTGCGAAGCTATCGGAGAAGAGCCCATGGATGTGTGCAATCCAGGAATACGTGGAGAATGAGTTTGAAAATTTTAGTATATTTTTCTTCGTGTTGAAAATCAACTGTAAACGTTACAGAAACAACCCTCTACCCTTTTATTTCTAAAGAGCCTTTGTTAATATTTATAACTCTCGAAAAGTAAAAGAGCATCCTTATTTGCATCTAAATGGGGAACAAATATCATTTAAAGATGAAAATTCATCAATTTTAGTTTAATTATAACCTGTTTTAAATTGTCCGGGCGCCTCCACCAAAATTTTCAATAAAATTTCTTAATCATTGCTGATAACGATTAAAAACCGTTTTTTGTGGTTACAATATTAGAGTTGTTCGTAATATTTTCTCTAAGGTGGGCTGTTGACAAATTATTTTTCAAATTTTAGTTTAATTATAAATTAGCACCCTTAATTGCGTTTAAATGGGGAAAAAATATAATTTAAAGATGAAAATTCATAAAATTTAGCTCAATTGTAGTCTACGTTTTAAATTGGCCCAGCGCTTTCACCAAAATTTTCAATAAAAATAATTTTTAATTATCTTCATAAATGTCTATTTTTCTGCATTAAGACGACAGAAAAATTAAAAAAAATTTCGTAATTACCAGTTCCATATCAATATGCGTAAGGGTTTTCAATCAAATATTACAAGAAGTCCTTAAAAAAAATTACTAATCATTTAACAATTTTTGCGTAATACTCTGTGTTTTCTTCGAGAATAACATTGAGCTTTATGTAAAAAGTTTTTAAAATATTTTTTACCGCAATTCAACATTCCATTTCGCAAAATCTCAATTTATGAATCAGTGGAAAGCTAATTTTCTTCGATTTCTTCCTCTTTTTCCTGTTAAATTTAGAAAGTAAAATCTGAAACAGAATGCTCTTTGCCAACTCAAGAAGTTTCAAGTAACTTGCGTAGGAAAACGCTTTTGAATAAGAATTTCTTCAAGTGGCTATAAAGTAGTAGGTTGCATGGACGTGAAAGCGAAGGGCGAACGTGAAATTCAAACTTTTTCAATCTTTATCCCTCGAAATGTGCCTGTTATTTGAAAGCTTTTAACAATCGTTCGAACACACACAACTGTGTTCAAGTCTTTTTCTTTTAATTAAAAACTTGTGATTGTTTATTTTGAAGGCTGAATGTTATACCCTTAACAAAATTAAAACGTAGTTGAATGTACTGAAAATTACATAATAATATTATTTTATTAAATAGCACGTATCCGCGACTTCGTCCGCACCTACCCGACTCTTTCGTCTTATCGGTAAAAACTACTTACAATTATTTATAATGAACACAATGATTATAATTAATAAACAATATAAAAGCTGCCTGATAACAACCTCTTTGGTTTTTGAGGCATTTGTTGTTTTTTAACTTGTTGGTTATTTAATCTCTAATTAGTGTACTATAAAAAAATTGTAGCAGAAGGTAATTAAGTTAGTTAAATTGCCCTTAATAAAATTTATACTTAATTTCTAACATGCGCTTTAAATTGTCGCTAATTTGTTACTAAATCCAAAACTTTGTTGCTAGCAGACGAAATGTTAGCCTGATATTAAGCTAGCATAGAAAAATACTAATTAGTCACTACTGTTCTACAATATTTATGTTTATGTGCCAATTTGACGGTTCTTCAATCGTATTTCACTGATCAGCTTGAGGCGGGACTCGGGACAAAATGGATAACAGAACCATCATTCAGCGACAAATTAGTGACAAAGTATATCCCTTACAGTATTTTTCTATGCCATTTCTATTCTGAGATACGCTATGTGTAGCGCCACCTTGGCGGTTCCCCGGGTCTATAGATGATACACAGCGTATCTCGAAAAATAAATAACGTTGAAATAAAGAGTTTGTCGCTAATTTGTCAGTATTTTTCTACAATATTTATGTTTCGAGATACGCTATATGTAGTGCTAACTTGACTTTTCTTCAATTGTATTTCCGGGACCAGCGACAAAATGGATAACAGAACCATCATTCAGCGACAAATTAGCGACAAAGTATATCCCTTACAGTATTTTTCTATGCCATTTCTATTCTGAGATACGATATGTGTAGCGCCGACTTGGCGGCTCTCCAGTTGTCTTTTGCATGACAAAATGGTTAAAAGTACCATCCTTCAGTGACAAATTAGCGACAAATTATAGTACTTTAGAAATAAAACATATAACTTTGTCGTGCTAGCTTGTTGAATTCGAAAATGATATTTTGGTAACAGCTAGGAGCCTACTTCAATACCTTCGAGCCCCCTTAGGGGGCAAATTACACATTAGAAACCACTATCATAACGATTTTGCTTTTCTTTTAAAGACGCGGAAACATTAAAAAAAAAGACTTAGAAGACTCACCTTGTAGTCAGACATCAGTCTCGATGCTTACTGCGTTGATATTGTTATTGTGACGCGGATTACAGTTCTGTTTGCGTGCGAGCTGGTCACGCGCTACAAGAAGGCCTTCCTCAAGTTCCACGAGGTCGGACGAGGACTCGCTCAACGAACCCTTTTTCATGTGCTGGCCCAGCGTGCCCGGCAGATACGGACAACTTGTTACATGGTTGAAATTCTGCGACTGCATCTCCTCCTGGTCCGTCTCCCGATGGTAGAAATAGTTGAAATTGGACACGATGACGGGCACGGGTAACGCGATCGTCAGGACGCCAGCGATGGCGCAAAGTGAACCGACGATTTTGCCCCATACACCGACGGGCCTGCGATGGAAGGTACGTTTCAATCAGTGCGGGAACGGTTGACGGTTCTGACGGGGAATGGGGGACGAAGCTGGGTGCTTATTGTTAGTAAATAATAAACACTACATCGAGCAAAAATCTACTACGGAATAGACGTGAAAAAGCTACGGAAACCATGCAGGTTTCAGAAGAAGATGGTGGAGAATAGGGAGAGTGAAAACTGGAGAAAGAGAATGTAATGTATTTACTACGTGCGCATGCACTTATTATGTGTGATTAGTGTATGGCAGATTGTGCGTTTTCACGGGGGATTCTGACAACATCCTGTACCTTTCAATAGCCTTTGATTGATATTTGAATTGTTAACGAAATATTAG